AGAGAGAGTGTGTGTGTGTGTGTGTACGTGTGCATGTGTGTGTATGCACATGCTACATGTGTGGCAGGTACCTGCAGAGGCCAGAAGAGGGTGTCAGATCTCCCAGAGCTTGAGTTACAGTTGTGAGCCATCCTACAGTTCTGGGAACCAAACTCCTATCCCCTGGATGAACAACGAACACTCTTTTTTTAAAAAAAATATTTATTTATTATGTATACAATATTCTTTCTGCGTTGTGCCTGAAGGCCAGAAGAGGGCACCAGACCTCATTACAGATGGTTGTGAGCCACCATGTGGTTGCTGGAAATTGAACTCAGGACCTTTGGAAGAGCAGGCAATGCTCTTAACCACTGAGCCATCTCTCCAGCCCCACAATGAACACTCTTAATCACTGAGTTATCCCCCTAGCTCCTGCACTCAATTCTAAAACTATGGGAAATTTTGTTGTTTTGCAGCTATTTTTCTTTTTTTTCCCTCCCCCCCTCCCTCCCTCCCTCCGTCCGTCCCTTCTTTCTTTTTCTCTTTTGAGTCAAAGTTTCTCTGTGTAACCATCCTGGTTGTCCTCAAATTTGCTCTATAGCCCAGGCTGGCCTCGAACTCACAGAGATCCGCCTGCCTCTGTCTCCCCAGTGCTGGAATTAAAGGCGTGCGTCACCACGGCCTGGTTGTAGCTGTTTTTCTCAATTCAACTCATTATACGATATGTTTCTAAGCTGTAGGAAACTGGAAACTGATGAGCAGAAATGATCGCAGGTGTGCCAATGGTCACTCCAGCAATTGTGCCTAAACTGAGTTCCCTTGGGCCTGCATCTGGTAAGCAAGCTCAGCCCCCCTACAAGCACCTCTTAGTAGCAGGAGACCCCTGTTGCGGCTCTCTTTCATGAAAAAAAAAATCTCTTTAGATCTAGTCTTTGAGCTAATTAAATACCTCATGACCCTGGGGTGCTTCCGTAATTGTATATACAACAAGAGAAAGCAATTTGACTTAGAAATTAAAACTTAATTGTTTTTAAAGGTGGAAGGAAAGAGAAAAGAAAAATATTAGCGGTTCTTTCCTTAAAAGAGTAGTCAATAGAAAACTATCTTTTAGTGGTTCTGAAGGTTTGGCAAGCTCACACTGTGTCCCATAAGGTCTCTAGTTGGTATGTGACATTTGTCAAGCGATTGGGAAAGTCTTGGGTTGTTCCTGTGAGAGTAAAGTCCCAGGAGAGTAGGGAAACCAAGACACCGCATGGCTGGCTCCTTTCTTCTCATGCCTTGTCCCTTGGCAGTTCATTATTCAAATCCCACTGGCTTTCTCTCGTCCAGTTACAACTGCCAAGTGTACGCTATGTGGCAAGAACTGCTAGCCGGGCCTGGGGACCGTCCAGGGCAGCCAGAGGTCCTCTCACTGGGCATTTATTTACCTGCTTCATATTTTAAATTGCTTCCTCCTCATTGTCCTTGATTATCTAGAAGTATTTGCACAGACCAGATTCAAAAACTCTCTGTAACTTTGTTGCTGTCCTAACTAGTCCCTAAGTTCATCTAGCCATACCATATAATGCTAAGAAGATCCCACCCACTCCCAGGACTTCTTTCTAGGACTGAGGAAGGAAGACTAGAAAGTATCATTATAGTGTCCTAAACACCTAACTGTTTGCCTGGGGTTTTTCGAGGTCACAAAGGACTTGGCTGAGCATTCTACTTTAGTTAAAAAAAAAAAAAAATCCTCTTTTAAGATCTGGCTAGTCTACATGGGGCTTTCTCACTATGGAATCCTTGAGGGCGGAGAATGTTCTGTCAATCTTCACGGATCTAGAATCTGGCATGGGGCCAGGCACAACACTGACTGTCAGCGAGTGATTTTGTATCCCAGGCTTTCAGGCTTACGTACGAGTTGTTCCCTGACGGGTTCGTAAAGAGGCCTCTTTCTGCGTCTCCTTCCCATGCACCCAGCACTGTCTGCTTCAGTCAAGACTCATGGGTGGAACCCAGAACATCAGGCTGGACTCCTAGCATGCAGAGGGACAATGCCACACTATCTAGCCACATTGTCACTCCCAGGAAGCTTATAATGGATGGTATATATGCCATTCTTTATAAAACGAGAAGTTTACTAAAGACACAGCGTCATGCGGGGGTGAAATAAATGGACTTCAGGAACGTGGGGGGTAGGCTCATGACCAAGACTATGGCTTCAGAAATACAGAGACAGAGTTAAACCAAGAGCAACATAGCACCTGCAGTAAGCAAGCCATCAGTATGCCTTCTTTTTTTTTTTTTTTGTTTTTATTTTTGTTTTTTGTTTTGTTTTGTTTTTTGAGACAGGGTTTCTCTGTGGCTTTGGAGCCTGTCCTGGAACTAGCTCCTGTAGACCAGGCTGGCCTCGAACTCACAGAGATCCACCTGTCTCTGCCTCCCAAATGCTGGGATTAAAGGCGTGTGCCACCAGTTCTGTCCTCCACAGGGGACTTGGGAGCACATTTCCCTTTATGTGTGCCACCTGCAGGGACTAGCATTCAAGCACAACAAGCCACCTGATGAGCAGGGTGTAGGAAATGATAGGAGCGACTTCATGACATTTTTTTTTTTTTTTTTTTTTAAAATAATTGCTTCCAACCATTCTCTGTCAATACTACCTAAACCCCTATCCAGGAGAGCTGAAACGGAGCATTTTTTTAATATTTATTTATTTATTATGTATACAATATTCTGTCTGTGTGTATGCCTGGAGGCCAGAAGAGGGCACCAGACCTCTTTACAGATGGTTGTGAGCCACCATGTGGTTGCTGGGAATTGAACTCAGGACCTTTGGAAGAGCAGGCAATGCTCTTAACCACTGAGCCATCTCTCCAGCTCCCGACTTCATGACATTTTGATGGGGGGATAAAAGCAGACAATGAGTCAAGTTTTTGGGCCGGAAATCCTCAAGACCTCGATGTCCAACTGTCCTGCTACCTGTGAAAATGTCCTCGGGAGGCAACTCCAGACTTAGAGTTCTGAAGGTGGGATGCATCCCGGCAGAACAACGTTGGAGATCACAGTACACTACTAGAACCTAGATATGCTCCTAGGAGATCTGGACACCTTCCGTTTCTATGTTACACGTCTTGAAGAAGTCACACAACCTCTCCAAGTCTTGGTTTTCCAACTTGTAATACAATTAAATTGCCCACTTGTCTCTTCATATGGAGAATTAGGACAACACTGAGCACAGGTGAGACCTTTAGAAACAGGAGGAGACCTCTTCAAGTACACAATCTCAGTTCGACGATCTGTTTTTCACTTTGACCTCAACTGAGCCCGGAGTAGAAAAAGTCTCCAATAAGAAAGGACGACAAAGCCAGGTGATGGTGATGCGCACCTTTAATCTCTACACTTGGGAGGCAGAGACAGGGGGATCTCTGTGGGGTGAAGGCCAACCTGCTCTATAGAGCTAGTTCTAGGACAACCAAGGCTATACACACACACACACATACACACACACACACAAATACACACATACATCTGTCTTAAAAATATCAACAAAAAAGGACTGCAGAAGTCAATTGTGTTGTAGATTAGAAGAAAGATAAGTTCAGGTGGGAATTCTGGGAGAAACTAGTCACCCCCCACACACACACACTGCTTCCTAGTGCCCCCCCCGCTTGATTTCTGTGCACCTCTGTGTGGATGGGGTGACCTGGCATCTCCACTTGTGTTGAAAATACTGGGTTGATTTACCTGGCCAACCTGAGAAGGAAGAACTTCAGAGAAACGTGGGGAGTCAGTGCCTTCAGAAAATGTGGCCTGGGCCAGTGGAATTTTGAAGGGACATAGAAATTTCTCAACCGTTCGGTGTCTATTACATAATAGGCCATGCCTTTAGCCTGAATTCTTTAATTTCACTACTCAAATTTTCAGTGTTGTTATTTCTGTTTGTTCCATGTAATGTCCCCATTTTATGCCAGAGACCTATGATCAACACAAAGCAATTTCTTGAACTATGTTTGTCGAATGCAGTGAGTGAGCGCATGCGTGTATGTGTGTAACAGTTAAAGCAGTAGGGCCGTGAGTTTGAGAGGCAGGTGTGCACGGGAAGAGTGGGAAGGAGAAAAGGAAAGGGGGGGGGATGATGTGATTACATTTTAATGAATAAAATTTGAAATTAATTGACTTTGCTGCTTTGTTACAAAGTTCAGTTTATTGGAAATCAGCATCTTCCCCTGGTCCTTTTGTTTTGTTTTTAAAGATAGGATTTCTCTGTGTCACCCTGGCTGTCTTAGAACTTGCTTTGTAGACCAGGCTGGCCTCAAACTTACAGAAATCTACCTGCCTCTGCCTCCTGGGTGCTGGGACTAAGGCATGTGCCACAATGCCTGCAATTACTTTTTTTTTTAAAGGTAGAGTAGCCCAGGCTAGCCTCAGATTTAGGATCTTCTTGCCTCAACTCCGGAGTACTGGGATTTTAAGGGCCTGCTGTGGCATCCAGTTTCCCCTGAGTCTTAGTAACTTAGAGACTAGCAGGTCGGCCACCTTCATTTGAAAGAATTGCAAACCTTACTCTGGGGACAGCTAATTTTTTACAAAATACTCTCTACTGTTGAAATTTCTTTCTTTCTTTCTTTCTTTCTTTCTTTCTTTCTTTCTTTCTTTCTTTCTTTCTTCCTTCCTTCCTTCCTTCCTTCCCTCCTTCCTTTCTCTCTCTTTCTTTCTTCCTTCCTCCCTCCCTCCCTTCCTTCTTTCCTTCCTTTCTTTTTTAAAAGCTCTCTTTTTACTTGGCCCCTTCCCTCTGGAAGCTCACAGAAGGTCTAGAGCCTTATGAACATCAAGACTTTGCTCGTTGGTGTAGGACTAGAGCAAGAATAATAAACAATGTCTCCCTTGGTAAATGATTCAAAAAAAGCCAGATTGTCTCTGGGTTCAGTTTCATCCCTGGGCAGAAAATAAATCATTTCACTGGCAAGGCATGGCATATGCCCCCCCTTGGAACAGATTACACATGATTTAAATTCCGTCTTTCCAGAGAATGGCTTTGGCAAGGCTTCCTACACACACAGGTGAAAGGGGGTTTTTGCACACTGAAAGCAAGCCCAGAAGAAGTCTTTACAGCCAGGGACCATCACAGAGTGAGGGGATTCTGGAATATAACAGCTAACATTCAACAAAAGAGAGCAAGCAAAAGGCACAAACCTCAGGGAGTCCATCAAACGGCTCCGGACACAGACAGATTAACAAGGTAAGTCTGTGGAACAGGAAAAACACTGTGACCTTTTCCAGAAAGCCCTGGACTCTTTACAGAAGGTGGAGGAGACCCCCACCTCTGGAAAGGAAAACTAGACACGATGTTGCAAAGTGAGGTGTCTTATCGGAGTTTATTATTGTGGCCAAACGCAACCGGGCCTTCTGCCCCCAGTGCATTTCAATCCAGGCCAAAAACTGAGCAGCGCTGGCGACTATTACAACCCACAGGTGTGCGTCCACACAGCGATACACACTCAGAACTGGGTGCTTCCATTGTTTTCAGCAGCAACAGACGTTCAGAGCCAGCCTGGATGGAGTTTTTTGATTTTATGTACAGAAAAAAAATTGTTGTCTCAATTAAGGATGAGGCCTGCCGAATGGTGGGGTGGTGGGTTAATTAGATCACTGCCCTGGGGTTGCGATCTGCTGACCTTTGCTCTTCTTGCTAAACCAGGGGTGGCTGGGCTGTTTCGCTGGACCTCCCGCCCTGCAGACTGTAACTGGAGCTTTCACCTCCTAAGGCTGTACAAAGTTGATTTCTGTTCGCCCTTGAGGAGAGGCCTTTAGTAGTCTCTGCTGACTGGAGGAACTGGCCTGCTTAAGGTCCAGTGGGAAAGAGTGCCCAGACTGGAATTGCCAGTTTGGAACCTTTGGACCAAGTCCCAGGCATTGGTTTGCTGAGGACACAGTGGTTGTGCTTGGTTTACCCCGCTTCGGGGCTGCAGGTAATCCACTGGGATCCACGCGGTTGTGTTGTTTACCTGCCCCCCACCTCAGGCTGTGAGTTTTGATTTTGCCCCATGTAAGCTGGATATAACTACATCTGTGGCATTTTTGATATTTTCAAATGCTTGTGCTAGGCCTATGGATGTTAGATGGAGAAATCCTGCTCCCGCGAGTGAGCCCCTGGCATTGGCTCACCCAGGCCTATGAACTATGATTGTACAGGATACAGATGAGGTTTCCTACAGTGAGGAGCGGAAAGCAGCAGGTTTTTGTTGGTGGTGGTTTTCTTTTCTTTTCTCTTCTCCTTTTTTCTTTATTATGAAGCTTGAGGCTTTCAGTTTTTCATGTTCACTCATTAAAACAAAACAAAACACAATTCTGGACTGGGGATGTAACTTAGTATGTAGTCCTTGCCTAGAACACAAGAAACCCTGGGTTTACTTCCCAAGGCTGCATAAACTGAACATGGTGGCAAACCCCTATTATCTTCACACGTGGGAGGTGGAAGCTGAAGGATCAAAGTTCAAGGTCACTCTTGGCCGTCTTGTGACTTTCCAAGCTTCCTCGGGTGGGTGGATCCCAGCTGCTCTAGTCTGGCTCCCTCCTCACCCACAGTGGGTGGGTTAGATGTTTTATTGGCTGCTGTGCCTTAACCAGCTCTCTTCCCAAGACTCTTAGCAACATTTCCTGGCCTCACCTTGCAAATGACTAATAAAATCCTGCCTGCCCCAAGGGCTTCTTCAGAACCAACAGCTGGAGAGCAACCGTGATGGGGGAACTGTTTACAAACTCACAGTACTACCTACAGAATGTTTTAGAGGAACCTTAAAAATGTTATGCCCAATCCATGAAGTCCCCTTAAAACCAACAAGGAGACCAAGTCCCGTATGTAAAAGCAAAAAGCCTTTATTTTGTGCAAGTTTGCAAACTCGGTCTCTCCACATGTCCAAGGTATTGGAATAAACAGAGGGCCCCGAGCTCAGTTAGAGCTGGGTTCCTATGGCAGTAAAGGTTGGGGTGAGGGGTCTCCAAGATTCAGGGCCCCTGATTGGCTGACACTTGTCTAGGGGTGTCCTGGTGAGTGTGCTGGAAGGTGATCCAGTCCACAGCAGTTGGAATGCTAGGCATTTTCTTTGAATGGTCCACTCCTGGGTGGCACTCGGGCAATCCCAGTACACGGTTCTTCCAGCAACCAAGTATTGCTTCAGAGCAAACTACTGAGACTCGGGCCTCTATTAAACTCACCGATGGCTGAGTCCTACACTGGCAGGTGACAATGGTTGAAAGCAAAGAACCTCCCTTGGGTGGTCTGTTTCTTTTTTAGCTTATCATGGCTGGCTTCTACAAAAAACATCGGACAAAGGGGGATTCATGCTCCCACGAAGCTCCCAGACCAAGGACCTATATTCCCAGGAGGAAGACAGATGATTGTCTAAGTATGTCCTGCAAGGTAATAATACACAGAGGAGCATGGTCCGTGTGAAATTGCTGATACGTGGTCATTTTTGACTTGTAAAAAAGATCAGTTTCATATGACTTAAATCTAATTTGGGGCCATTTTCTTTGGGGTTTGAGTTTCTATTTAATAAGGTGCCATATTCTTGCCAAGTGGCAGAAGGAGCCACATGTTTGGCAGCGGCTGGGGCTCTGCCCAGTCTTCCAGATGCCTGTACACTCGGGGAAGAGGGGGAAGCTTATGCTCCAAGCCAAGGTTTCAGAGTAGAATACATTGTTCATCTCATTCCCCGGGAAGCAGAACTTGGTCTCATGGCTCTTGAAATATCAGCTTTATTCAATGCAGCTGTGCCCTGATGTAATAAAGAAAACAGAGGGCAAACGAGAAGACAGCCTCACTGTCTCCCAGATCAGACAACCTACACATTCTTACCAATAGTAAGGAAGCAAATGACAACGAGAGAAATGGGGGTCCCAATGAGCACAGGGTGAGATATTTACTTTTATTAGGTTCTTATACTCAAAGGGAAGGACTTGGGATCTTCCCCAGATTTTATTTTACCTTTATACATTTGTCTTGTCCCTCAGGATAGGAGGACTGCTGGCACCCAGAGCTTTACTTCTTGACTTATCATCAGAATCACTCAAACTGTGGTGGCTCTTGATTGACTTTCAGATGTGTTCCAGGAGGTCCTTAAGAACCAACCCATTCCTGCCAGACAGTGATGGTACGTGCCTTTAATCCCAGCACTTGGGAGAGGCAGTTCTGTAGACAGCCACGGCTGTTACATAGAGAAGCCCTGCCTAGAAAAAGAAAACAAAATAAAAACAAACAAACAAAAAAGAGTCAACTCATTCCCTTCCCCATGTTAGTCCTCATCTGTACTCAATAACCTTTTAAGTTATATGGTGTGTGTGTGTGTGTGCGTGTGTGTGTGTGTGTGTGTGTGTGTTCGCAAGCGTATGCAGGTGTCCTCACCATGCACACTTGTGATGAGACCAGAGGCTGATGTTCCATATTTCATGTCTTTGTCCATTAGCTCTCTTCCTCACCCTTTGAGACAGGGTTTCCCGCTGGACTTGGAATTCACTACTTTTGGTAGATCAGCTCCTACTAAGGTCCTGGGATCCACCTGTCTTTGTGTTCACTGGAGGTGCAGGTGAGTTGCCTTCATGCCCACTTTCTGAACGCAGGTTCTCATGCTTGCTGAAATGGTGTTTTCTTCTATGTGTTTGCTGTTTTCTTCACGTATGTATTTTTAATTTACAAACATTTTGCTTGGCTAGGGTAACTTTATTGTAATGTCTTAGCCAACAGTGGGTTAATATGGAGAATATATGAAGGCACTCTTAAATTAGAAGAAGTCAGAAAATTTAAGGGAAAGAAATAGGCAAGGTTTGTTTGTTTGTTTGCTTTTCTTTTAAAGACAAGTCATAAGTCACAAAAGAGAAAATCCAAATGGCTACCCCATGTAGAAAGACACTGAAAAACAAAGAATCCAAAGAAGCACACAGTAAATAGATAACTTATTATCTATTTATGTATAATAAATATTTATTATATAACCTTATTTATATAAGTAACCTTATTTATATATAATAAATAACAAATTTATTCACCTTTCTCCCCCCCCTTTTCCTCTCTTTCTCTCTGCTCCACTTATTTGTCTTAAACTAGTTCCATTTTTCTTAACTTGTATTTATTATTATTATGTGTGTAGAAGACACACAAGGGGGTTGCAGTATAACACATTCATGCCTTGGATCATGTGTATTTCTTGTGGCTGTGTCAGGGGAGCAGCAGGGGACAACTGAGCTTCTGGAGGTTGGTCAATCAGGAAGCAAAGCACTGATGGATAAGTCTCAGACAGGCAAGGTTCTGAAAGTTTCGGCTCCAGAATGTCTCGTGCTACCTCTGTGTCTTTACCTGTTCACCTCAGCCATTTTTTCTCTTGGCTTGCTTACACTCTGTTAATCTATAACAAGCTGTGAGGGTATGACTGTATGTGGGTTCCTAGGAAAACTTCTTTTCCAGCTGTAATATGTAAAATGTTTAGTCATGTGAGGGATATGGAAAACATGCTTTTATTTTACTTGTATTCATTGTAATCATTCACTTAGAAAACAGAATGTAACCACGTTATAATTTTTTATATGGCTTGAGAGATTTTGCTGAGGTATATAAGCTGCAGGGAAAAAATTAAGAATAGACAGAAGGGAAACACCAGGGTATAAGAACAGAACACAAAAAGAATAGAGAAGAGCAAGCAACAGAAAGAATAATAAAATGAAGAACTAAGCTTCTGGCCCTTAAAAAAGTCCTGTGTCTGTTTGTCTGTCCGGTAGTTCTCCTGCGCTCCATCTCCTCTTTAGTTTTTCTGACCTGCTGAAGGTTTGCTATTCATCAGCACCCTAGTCACCTGACATGTCGAAGGGGTGTGTGTGTGTGCACGCGCGCGCGCGTGTGCGTGCATGTGTGCACGCATGTGTGTTTCTCTTTTTTGCTGGCCCCAGAAAGTTAAGTTTTGCACCCTCTTGCTGGCCCCAGAGAATTAAGTTTTACTCCCTCACATAGAAAAGTCAAGTTGAGTGATTAGTTCTCTGACTCTGGGGATCCCCTTCAGCCCCTGGGCTGCAGAAGGCTACTCTTTACAGCAATAAAAGTGTATGGTTTGGAAGACAGCTGAGCGCTGGGCTCCCTCCCCCCATGGCGGATTCTGGAGACAGAACTCTGTGCTCACGACTTTCACAGCAAGTGTTTTTATACACTGGGCCATCTGTGTACATATAATACAGCTAACCCAGGCGCCATATCTTCAGTACACATAGTATAAACACAATATAAACATACGCATAACATAGTATAAACACACACATGTCTGTACATACACATACAGAAATATAACTGGACTTGCCTAGAGAACGTAGGATTTGAAAGGAGAGTCTGCAGTATAAGACAAGGAAAATGGAAACCAGAATAAATGAATCTGTTCTCAATGCCAAGGGTAATGTCTTGTGCTGGACAGTACCCAGCATCCACCTAGATAAGCATTACACTTCTAGTCTCTCATTCTTCTTTCTCCTTGTTCACAGATATATTTAGTTCATCAGAGAATCAGGAAGCCTTATAAACTTGCCGTTAATGGAGCAGCTATAACAACCCCAAACTCTGTAAGGAAGCTGCAGGGAGGAAAGGCTAAGGCTGTGCACAATTCATGTGGAGCCTGACTTACTTTACCAACGGGACAGCTCAACCCACCTCGGTTTCCCATTTGTCTCTTCTCTCTTCTGGCTGTCACAAATTCGTTCAACCTTTGGTTTCCTCATTGCAATACTTAGGAGGAAACACAAAGCTCCCCAAACCCCACATTTTATGAGGCTGTGGGAAGGAAGAGGGCTGTGTTGGGGAGGAAGTGGGGGTTCCCAAACACCATGTGTCTTCCTGATACAAACTGTGTCTGTAGAAAGAACTGGGACAGAGGCTCACAGAGCTAGGCTCTTGTCCCTGCTCTGCCACAGACAGGCCCTGACCTTCACTGAGTCACCTAGCTCCACTTTATCAGCTTCAGTGGACAGGGAAGAGGTTATGCTCAAGGGTCTCAAGGGCCCAAGGTTCGGTTCAAGGCAGACATTCTCAGATTCTGTATTCTCCCTGCTCTGGGGTGTCCGGAGCTCACTGGCTTCCTCTGGAAACATCGTGACTGATGTATAAAGGGCTGTTAGTGCTTAGTAAGGAAAGGTCATTCCAGAGGCCTGATTAGCCTCCCTGCATCTCAGAACAATGACTCCCGGGAACCCTTCTCCTATGAAGGGTTTAACTACATTCTTTTACGTGAAAGAGAAGAGAGACCACAAATGCACTTCACAGCTAAGAAGGAATATGCCCCCAAACTATATCTTCCAGCAAATATCAAAAAGAAAGTCACAAAATCTAAGAAACAAAAATGTTGTCATTCAACCAACCTCTAGTTCTTGAGTCTTCAACTGCCATCTCTAAGAAAAAGTGGTCCATTTGGAGTCCACCGCCACATGCTGTTGCCTCTGGTTATGTCATTGACATTGCCATCTGACGCCATCATCCTAGCTTCTGCCCTGGTTCTCTGGTGACCCCAGCCATTCTGTTGCCTAGCCTCACTAGTAGTTCTGGCTTTCCTTGGGACTATCTCAGTGCCTGGTCGATAATACAATCTTACTGATGTCCTGGGCCCACTAGGGGATAACTATTCCCCCGCATAAAAACAATGCTCTAAGGTATGAGCTGAAGGTTTTTGCTGTAGATATGAGGGAGAGAACAGCCAGAGGCATCTGTAAGAGTCAAGAGCAGAGAGAGATGTAATGGACTAAACATGGCCAACAGGCTGGACTTGGCCATGGGGGGTGGAACAAGAGAGGAAGACAAAGAGAGGACCAAGAGAGAGGGGCAAAAGAGAAAGGGTAGGCGGAAAAAGCAGGGTTATAAGGGAAATGGGTAGCTGAGGAGGGACGCCCTGGGGCTGAAGAAGTTTGGGGGTGGGGTCAGGAGTGAGGAAGAGCTGAGAGGAGCCAGGCTGTCAGCATGGACTCTGAACTGAAATGAGTAACAGGTGCTTGGGACAGACACGGAGGGAGCCTGGAGGCCAGCATATGCTTTGGTTTGCTACTGGACACTACAGGTAGCCTTGGGAAAATGGCTCCTTTGGTAGAGAAAAACTGACTTCCCAAGTTACTGAGGAATGCTGGCTTTGTTTAAGTGCCAGAATTTGGGGGAAAGGAGGTTCCTTTGGACTTGGCAAGGAGAAGGTCCCAGAAAGGACCTCGGGGACACATGGGTGATTCACAGTTTAACTCAAGCTCAGCTCTGAGTTGACGGGAAAAAAACATGTATTTCACACAACCATTCTGTCTTTAGTTTGCTTCCCCCCCCCCCCAAACAAAAGGCTTATGGAAAATTGGGACACCATCCCAGAGGATATGGGAATTTAGGGATCCAATTGGCCTCTCCAGGATGAAAATCAAATAGTAGTGGTCAGGAGAGACCCCATCCTGCTATTTATAGCCCTCTCAAATAACCCCTCAGGGAAGCCATGCCAGAAGAGAAGCCCTCCGCATTCCAGTCCCTAAATTAGAAACGCTAATTGTGAAAAAAATGTAAACACAAATTAGTCTAGGGAGAAGGATGTGGAGAGAGGGTTCCCAGTGGCCAGAAGGTGCAGGGTAACATCGCCAAATGGCCGAAGACTTGGGTTTTAGAGCCTGCCTCTGTCTCCTCACGCTTTCACCACCCTGGCTCCCCTGTTTCAGTTAGCAGCCTGAACTTCCTAGCTTCTCCTTTTGTTTCCCACGGAGGAACTGGTCTTGTACTCTGGCTGCTTCCTGGGCCTCCTGGTCTACAAAGAGTTTCAGTCTCAAGGTCTCTTCCTGAACTCACCATCGCAGCCACGCTGAAATACAGAGGAGAAACAACTCAGCATATGTGGATGAGAATGGCGTCGAGAACTGTCTCTGCAAAATAAAGTCTCACGTCGAGAACTTTCTCTACAAAAGCAAAGTCTCACTTATTATTTAAGTAGCGGCTTTCCATCTTTGACAAGCAAAGACATTCTGACCTTGGGTCACCCTTTTCCTTTTGCTTCACTAGAATTCCCACCGAGCCCAGTTAGCGGCGTGGACAGCTGAGACACAGCTCTGACCACCTGCTGACACCACCTGGGGAAGCTACTGAGAAGTACAGTGTTGCAAATGGGATTCTTGGAATGTGTGTGTATTCAGGAAATCGCACAGGAGTGACCCACAGGTCGCAAAGGAGAGAGAGGTGACGTCACATCATTGAGAGCCAGTGGCTGTGGTGAGGAGTGGGGACTTAAAAGGTGGGAGGAGTTAACTAAGATGGTTTCCAGCTGGGAAAATGACTGGGAAAGAAGGGGTCAAGCTGAGACAAGCCTAGGTTGACAAAGGAGGCAAAGAAGACACAGGAGAACAGGGTGTGCATACCAGACAGACAGCAAGAAGCTCCGACGGGCTCTCCCAAGAAGACCCCAAAACAGTAGGGAACCTGCGAGAGTCCACACAAGAGAACCCAAGAGCTAATGTTGAGGCAAAATGGGAAATAAAGTGGCATTCATAAATTCAGCCTGCAAAAACACTCTCATTTAATTGCTTGTGGAAAGTCGTCTGACTTTTCTCAACTGCTCTGCCCATTTAAAGCCAAAATGTCACGACTTTTGGATGCAAAGGTAAAATTTTAAAATCAGCGTTAACGGAACCTATCAATGACTCTACCGCTGCATGAAGGCCGCTGTACTGCACAAGATAAACAATCCCACACTTTCTAGAGGGAGATGGGCGGGCGGGGAGGGAGGGATCCCAGAAGGAATGAAGAGGAGCCCACATTATATGCTCCTGGAGGCCTTCTTACTCAGCCTGCTCTCTGGTTCTCATTAGAGAAATTCTATCTTTCCTAGATCTGTGTTTTAAAGGAACATAAACAATACTTCTAAGCCCCCAAGGGCTTGTTCACTTTTTTTCCCTTCTTTTTAAAGCTGAAAACACACTAAAATCGGAGAAAAACACAAGGAGAACCATGGTTTGACCAAGAAACAAACTATTCCAACCAAATGCTAAGATATTTCTAAGTTCTCCTCCCTAATGGGAATGCAAGCAAAGTGCGCATCTTGCCGCAGTGCAAGCACTGCGCCTCAAACTGTGCTTGGGCCTTGGGTCCTTTGCGCCTAGGCGCACAAGGCAAAAGGGAGAGACTAGCTCTTCAATAAACAAAGTCTCTGTTTAGTTAATGGTCCTCAGTTAATGGTCACCAAGAGAACCGCATCAGGCTGGGGTGGAACCTTGCCATCCCAAGGGCCGGTCCAGGAGCCATTTGTTTTCCCACAAGTAGGAGTTTGCCCAGTTCCTTTCTGTGTGGGGCTCCAAGTCAGTGGACTTTCTCCAGTGGTTTGGAAATGCCTTAGAGGGTTTCGAGGAGCAAGGGCTGTGGGGGTCAGAACGTGTCCTTTTCCTCACTGACTCCTCTGTGGAGGAGGCAGGGAGTCTGAGGGAAAGCAGAGAAGGCAGCTGGCTTGGAAGCTGTCTTACTTTTCTCCACCACCCTCCCTCACTTATAAAGTAAGTTCCTTCCTGGTTTGATTTTGTGAGCACAAGGCCCATCCCCAAGCTCCTGACAATACGGGGTCACGCTTGTCAGTCCAAAGGAAACTTCATTTCCAAATCCTGGCAGTTAGACAAGAGCCATCATCCCCTTGCCGAAGGTCCCTTACCACCGACAGAAGGTGCTAATGGCTTTCTGCTGTATCTATTAGCACAGCAAAGCCCATGCTGACCTCCAGGCTTGCTTGGTATCCTGCGAACCTGGTACACATTTCACAGTCTGTGCTGGCTGTGAATTTTCTGGTCTCCACCCCAACGTCTCCAGTTCATGAGCTTCCTTCGTCCTGCTTCCTGTTCTCCTTATAACCCTGCTGTTTCGGCTTTGCTCGCTCTCTCTTCTGCCTGCTCTCCTCTGTCTTCATCTTTAGCTCTTCCCCTCTCTCTATGACCCCCCCCACACACACACACACTCTCTGCTTCTCTAATGGACAGGTGCAATCTGCTGGCCATGCTCAGTCTCTGAGTCTCTGGACCCTTCCAGATGCCTCCGGCTCTTCCCTCCCTCACATCTACAGTGAAAGCCTCCCCCTTGACTATACCACGGAACAGCCATGTGGTCGGTCAGTTTATACCGTGTCTATGGTTGCTTAAGTAGAAACATTTTCAGACGGTGGACCTCGATGAGGCTCTGAAGGAGTCACAGAACAGTACTAGAGGGTGAACACTCAAGAATACCCACCCCCAAGATGCCCTTTGTACGCTGAGGTCCACCTGGTGTGTGCTCAATCAGCCATCCTGTGAAGCGACCATCAAGGCACATTGTGTAGAACTCAGCTTCCTCAGCATCGTGAAAGACGCCTCTCTCCTCCCATTCTTCATCTGACGTGTTGTTGTTTTCCCCAAAAGCCGTGAACATCTTCCGCCTCCTCCCGAGGCCCTAACGTTGTTCTGACAAGGCTACGCTTTCCTAAATCACTCCCTGGGTATCTCTGAAAGCCGGGAAAGCACTTAAAAGCCAGCGTCTGAAAGGGCAACTGTCGCTCTGCTGTCGTGCTAAGACCTCAACTCCATTAAATTTAGATTAAAATAGGGCAATCATTTTCATCCATCGTCAGGTTGAGTGAAAAGGAGGCTACCTTCTCTCCCTAATTGCTCAGGAAACATTACAGGTAAATGGATTAAACCATAAACCCAGGCAAACTCCCCTGCCTCGCCTGTCCTTTTATTATTTAACCCTGGCAAACTTACCGTCTGTTCATGTAAGGCCCCGGGGCCAGACCCACATCGTTGGAGGGCCGGTAAGAAAGCTACTTGCCTTTTCCTGGGGCCACATGCTCTTTAAATATGAATCCTAGTGAAAAATCTGCCCGCGTCACACAGACACGGATGCTCCTGTACCCGAAGGCTACTTGTGTGTGATGTTGGGAGAGGCAGGGAACTGGTTTGCCTTTGATCATTTCTCAAAATCACTAGGGCCTGGCTGTGTTTTCTGTTTGCCTACAGTAGCCAGCCATGGAAACCCATCACCCTAATGGCAGCTGGGCGGATCAGTAGTGGGTGGATGCTGGGACGCTTTTGTAGAAATTCATAAAGGCCGCTGATACTTAGACTACTTCCTCATTATCCCCAGCACAGCCTGCTTCCCCATTAACTTCCCTGGAAATTCTGCTTCTTCTCACCACACAGTTACATTCAGGATGACCTTGAACTCTCATTTTGGAGAGGGGCCAACTAGGAACAACTAAGCTTCTCCTGAGTCAATTATAAAAATACCCTTTGGAAACAATCAGAAAGTTCGGTGGCTGCAACTCTACTTGAACACTTAAGGGTTTCATTTGCAGCTAAACCACAGCATGATCAGTTCGGACTGCAGAATCTGATTACAACGTTACAACTTTGAATAACCTTGATTACTAAGTAAGCTATTCTTAGAAGCTGTTTATTTTGCCTTTCCTTAACTGACTCTCATAAAGCTATTTGTCTCCTCTGTTTAGGTCCCTTGATTTTGCTGCATTCAGTTATTAAGTGCAAATGACCACATTGCAACGTCTTCCCATCCAAAGAGTCTGTCAGCCACTCGTTCTGAAGTAATAATTTGAGTTAGTCGCCTTTCTGTCCGGCAGTCACAGCATGCATTTTAGAAGTTGTTCCGCTAATAACCCTCCCATTCACATGAGTGCAGTTATCTCTTTTCCGGGTCTCATGTCCGTGAACTGGTTTTCTCAAGTCCAATCCAACTAATGGGTTGCTTGTCTTTCTTTTGCCGAAGACAGGGATGACAGAGTTCTGAAATAGCTGATTGTCTTAACTTACAGGTAAAAGTTGAGACTTGAAATCTTGGGCCCATTTTCTCTCTGTACGGGGAGGCCATGGAGGTAGGTGCTGGATGAGTTGCCCTGTGGCTCACACAGCAGGGTTCTGTCAAGCTCACTGCTGCCTCCTGCATTCAGCTATGCTGTGCTGTTCTCCTAGCAAGGACGAGGCCATCTGCCAGGAACAGGAACAGGATTTCCAAGAGGGAAGGGAAGAGATCATGTCTTCGAACCTGCTGGGGAGGAAGGAGGGACAAGGGACACAGCAAGGAGGAACATGACCTTGAGTGGTAATGCCAGCTGGAATGGAAATACCTCACTTTCTACTATCTGAAAATTTCCAATATGGTCAATTAAAAAGTACCCCCCCCATTTGTCTTTGCTAATAATTCATTGTTAAATCCACCAGTCCTTGGTTAAGCGCCTAGTGAACTGGCAGAGACTTTATTCTCTGACTGAGCCCTGGGGACTCAGGAGAACACGCACATTTGAGAGGCTCGGAGATGCAAAGAGCAGGGAGAGACCCATTCTTGGAAGCACGTGAGAATAAACATCACTGTAGTTCCATGAGAACTGACACGGTAAACAAAAGGCTGTAATTCTACCATGATGCACAGTCAATATGAAGGACACATACTCAACAACACAGGTCATGGGGGCTTTTAGGTCAGCTTCACCTATCCAGAAACCGCTGTAAAACCCAGTCATCCAGACCTTTCTGCTGAGAAACTGGAAGACACTCAAGCAGGAATATCCTGTTCTTCCCAGCTTATCAGAGCCCACGCTGATACAAATGAAATGTTCCTATTTAGTCTTAATTTAAAAAAAAATACAAGATGACTGCTGAGTAGGTAAAATGGCTCACAGTGCATGGATTCACCTCTGCCCACATTGTGGGAGCCGAGCTGGGGGGTAGAACTGAGAGCTAAGGGCCAGAATCAAGCATTGACGGTTGCCAGGTTCAACAGGAGGCCCCCTGTCATGGTGTTGGCTTTTTCAACATTGGTCTTAGTCTGAATCTTCTCACTGCTTCCCTCAAGAAGCTTCCTCAGTATACTAACTCAGTCTTCTGCGGGAGGCGGGAAGGAGGTGAACATTTGTGTCCTAGAGGCTCCCGCCACAGTGAAGCCGGGTAGAATACATATATCCTGAAATGAATACTGTCAGTATTCTACCTCATTCCTGACCTTTCTACCAAAGCAGCTGCTCAGGCCTGATTCTGCCCCCTCCTCCCACATCTATCATGACATGAGGGAGATTTGTGTGTATTGAAATAGATTCAGGAACTATAAGGTCCCAGATGTAGGACGTGTGAATTTTACTTTACAACACACATACACACAAAAGAAAGATGAACTACGTCAAGAAATGGTTCTGGAGAATTGTTTATATTGTCTGAATCTAGACTTCCTATCCCAACACCGAAAATTCCAAGAATTTAGCATAAATGATAACAACACCAGTCCTTTGAAATGTAAAGGACAGCTCTCAGGAAATACAGGGAAACTCCTAGGTATCTGGAAGATGAAGGGAACTGAAAGAAAGTCAGACCAGAGGCTCTCAGAGTTTTTGTGGTTCATTGGCTGTGGAGTGGGGGAGTGGGATGAGGAGTTTCGGTTCACGGTACTCTTGGAGCTTGAATGTTAATGTCTACGTGGAAAGGGCAGGGTAAAGGGCTTTATCATGATGCAGGAAAAGGAACCGTTCAGCCAGCTTGGTGCTCTTAAGGCACCGGACTTTGCTGGAGACAGTAAACCAGGAGAAAAAGCCCAGTTCAGGATTCTTGTCTGTCTCTCAAAGTTCTTCGAAGAGACAAAATTTTCCTGTTTTATGTTTACACATTTTCAGTCCACAAGTTTCACTTTTATGCACATAGGCTCTTAGAAATCAGAACTGAGAAATTCTACTCAAGGTTGTTCTTGGGACTATGATGCACACGGCAGAAGAGAAAACATCTCAGCGAAGTCTGTGGAAGGCCCACAAATGAAGTCCTATTACAGGCAAGTTCAGTCTAAAATTACAAACATTCCTTAAAGAAATAAAATAACACATAAAAGCAAGATTGGAACCTAATAATTTACATTTCTGGTTACTAATTTGGCTACTATTAATGATCTAATGTACAAGAATAAAAAGGATAAATTCAAATCACAGAAAAAGAAACTTTAAAGGGAACAGAATGGAAAGATGAAACCAGACTCACATCTTACTCCATATATTAAATAAGTCCAGACACAGTAGGACCTAAATGTGAAAGGAAAAATTCAACTTTATAAAGAAAATATAGAAGAATATGGTTATGGTATAGGTAGGGAATGTTTTTCTGCATTGGGCACAAAAATCATAAAACATAAAAGAAAAGACTGATAAGCAGGAGTTTCCTGAAAATTATGTGGGGAATAAAAAGATACCACAAAGATAAAAGAAAAGAAAATGCATTTTAGGAGAAGATTCTTACACACTGTATAAAAGTAAAACCCTTTTAAATTCACAAGAAAAAGGCAGCAACTCAAATTGAAACTGCTACCAATACCTTACAGAAGAGCAAGGCCGTTGCTTAATAACTATATGAAGAACGTTCCAGTTCTAAGTCACGAGAGGGCTGTAGCCAGGAATGAAGCTGGCAGATCTGCGAGGAAGCAGAAGCGCTGATGCGCTGTGGGTTGGGAGCCTATGCCGGACCCACTGTGTAGGGAAACACTAGACAGCATCAGTGAAGCTGTGCCAGCCATCTCTTTCCCATGTGCACAGGGAGAGAGTTCATGGACATGTTGAACTACTGCCCTGTCTATGAGAGTCAAATCTGGGGAGGTGCAAAGTCCACCAGAGAATATAACTGCATGTAACCACAAGACAGTACCAGAGAATATAACTACATGTAACATAAGACAGTGAGCTGTAGGCAGGCACAAGACCATACATGGAATATCAAACATCTGTATTAAAATTAGGGTTCTATTAGAAAAGCAAAAGGAATGCGGATAGAGCTTGGGTTGCCTTTGAGTTATTGCATCTCTTACACAATACACAATTTGGGACAAATTGGGCAATATACCAGTGCTCGCATGTTTGAACTATTTTATCACTGGAAACAACTTAGGAAGAGGTTACATCTAAGCAGCAATGGATCTAAGTACAGTCTTCACAAACACTCTGAGCCTTCACTGCCGTTAGGGCAGGTTCACGGGCTTAGTATTTACTGATTGACTCTACAGTGAGTACTGGGGCAGATTCCCTTGCTCTAGTCTGCCTGTACCGTGCTTAACAAGGCCTGAGGAGGTCGTTGGAAGTTAAGGCTAGTGGTACTTAGTGATGGATTCTGCTCTTGGCCATTTAGTAGAACCTTCTGAGGATGTTCTTCTGATGTAAGGTAGAACACATCGTAATGACTAATACCGTGTAATTCAGCCTGCAGTGCTCCAGACAGTGGTCTAAGGCTTTGATCCCAATGGCAGCCCTGCATGAGCTAAGGACTAGTATTATAGATCAAAGACAAATGGTTTCACTGCTCTGCTGTGAATGTGTTTCTCCAATCACATATTGGAAATGTAACACACACACACATGTTGAAAGCATTGCTGTGGAGGGGATGAGAGAAAGCTAGTTCGTGAAGGTTCTACCTTCATGGATGGTTTAGTGGCCACTGTTGAAGAGCTTGAGTCTTTGAGAGGCTGAGCACTCTCTCCCCTCCTTTCCTCCCTCCCTTCCTCCCTCCTCCCTCTAGGGTATGCTTTCCTCCTTTCTGCCTTTTACCATTGTGTAACACAGGGGGGAAAGGCCCTCACCAGATGTTGACTTCTTGACCTTGGAATTGGATTTCCTGGATCTTAGAGCCCCAGGAAATACATCTCTTTTCTTCACTAGTGGCTCAATCTCAGCTCTTTTTTTCCTGGCCTTTTTTTTTTTTTTTTTTTTTTTTTTTTTTGATGTCACAAGAAGATAAAACTGATGACCTCACCTACGCGAGTCACACAGTGGCACTGAGCTGCACCCCAGTCTATCCTCCACTATTCTATTAGAGCAAAACAACAAACAAACAAACAAACAAAACTCAGACGTAGAATACAGTGTTAGGTTTAACTGGTCACCGTCAACAATTGACTCCAAGATCCATCCATAAAGCACACCCTTGGGAAGTTCTCTGATGGTCAGTCCGTCCTGTTGCCCTTACAGCTGGATAATTCTCTCTGTGGATGCAAGCTTCTCCGAGCATGCTCACAACACCTGCCCCATGTATCTCAGAGAGGCAGGATGCTGGATCTGATATGGAGTCTTAGTGACTGCCGGGTTCACTGGGATGGCACAGTTAAGCTCCATGAGGACATGTTGTTATTTCTGGGTCCTCTGGACTGCAAAAGGCTGCATACTAGGAGCACAGTGGACTTTTATTGAAGAAGAGAGTGTTGAACAATTTTCCTTTTCATTTTCGAAACCTTTCTTCAAAAAGTCTGCTATCACAGAGATCAAAGCAGAGACACACCTGTTGAGGATTTGAAGTAGAAGTGGGGCTGGTGGAGGACTTGCCTGCAGCTTGACACTCATTCAAGGAATCCATATTCCTGGAACCAGGACAGCAGACCCTGATATCCAGAGAGGCCCAGGCAATGAGCCCGGGTGTCTGATTCGCTGGCCTGGAGTTTCTTCCTTTGTCACAAGATAAGACGGTGCGGGCTACTCCTGAGACTGCTGACAAGGGAGAATACATTTCTAGGAAAAAGACACCTGCTTGCTAATTAGACAGTAGTGTAATTAAAGTGACTCCAGGACACCTTAATTCAAGTGTGGTGAGTTAAATGCTGGCTGAAACTGAGATCTGAGCAGGAACCTGGTTAGCGGCCATATCCTGCAGAGTGAGCTAAACACAGAGAGCGCTTATCTGTTGGTTTAAAAAATCTTACGAAGATGGCTCTATTGCTAACTTAAGGATTATTTACTTGATTGTGGAAGTATATTTTTACATTTCTTTTGGCATCCTTTGACCTTTCTGCCCAGGTTCCAAGAACCTTCTACGCCTCTTACATAAC